CAAGTTTCCTACCATCAGTTATGTTGAGGACTTGGCTCGCTATGGCTACAGCGTCATTAGGATGCAATGAGTAAAGGTTTCTTTTTTTCTCAATAAGATGAATGAAGTCAAGTCCCATTTCCCTTGAGTGCTTGAATTCTTTAGACAGTCCATCCAATGTAGCTGCATCTACAGGAATGTGGTCAATCTGTACTCTGGTTTCCTTAACTTCACTTCCCTTATTAAGGACTTCAGAAGATCTAATAGTGATCGGTCTCATCTGAACTGTCTTATTACTAGTGGGATTAAAATCCTCATCAGAGGAGGAGGATTCTGATCCATCAGAGTGAAATGCATCCAACTCTGGATACAGCCTAGCCAACAGTGGAGGATCTTCATCCTCTGTGTAGCATGGCTGACCCGGAGGAGGGGCTACAGGTGGAGGTCGGCACTGACGCTTTGACTTAGATTTACAATTGGCATATTGCTGTTCAACCTCAGTCAGTGATTGCTGAAGTTTTTTTACAGGTTCTCTGGGCATTCATGGCAGCTATTTTATGCTTTTTACACTCGTTGGTTAACTCTAGGATCTTTCCCTCAGCTTCCTCTAGCTTACCCTCCATGTATCTAAGCTTATACTTTCAGTACTGCTCTATTACATAAAGACATTCCTTACCTGAATCATGCTTGATACCATAACCCAAAGCTGTTTTACATTCTGTAAGGGCCCATTCACTATCAGCAGGGAACACTTTGGATGCAAAGTGCTGAAATCTCTTTTGCTCACTGGTGTGCTTTTTGACTATGCTGTCAATTACCATTTCAAAATCTGACTCAGTCCATTGAGGCATTTTAGTCCCACCCTTAACTAATGTGCTATTTTTTGGCCTTTAGAAGGCATTTGGGCCTTTAGAAGTCATGATGAAGTAACACAACAAATCTTCTCTAACAACAAACAAACAAAACAAGTAAACAAAAAAAGACTTCCCTCACAAGTTACAAGTTACAGTGACAAAAAAACAGACACAAAAAGAAAAAACGCTAGGCTTTTACCAGTGAAAATGAGTGAACTTCCCTCAGAACAGAGGGGATAACAGCCACAAAAAACACTAGGGTTCTTTTTACCAGTGACAACAAGTAAACTTCCCTCGGAACAAATGGGGATAACAGACACAAAAAAACACTAGGGTTCTTTTTTACCAGTGACAACAAGTAAACTTCCCTCGGAACAGTGGGAATAACAGCCACAAAAAAACACTAGGTTTCTTTACCAGTGACAACAAATAAACTTCCCTTGGAACAGAGGGAATAACAGCCACAAAAACACACTAGGTTTCTTTACCAGTGACAACAAGTAAACTTCCCTTGGAACAAATGGGGATAACAGCCACAAAAAACAATAGGGTTCTTTTTACCAGTGACAACAAGTAAACTTCCCTCAGGACAGAGAGGATTACAGCCACAAAAAAACCACTAGGTTTCTTTACCAGTGACAACAAGTAAACTTCCCTCGGAACAAATGGGGATAACAGCCACAAAAAACACTAGGGTTCTTTTTTACCAGTGACAACAAGTAAACTTCCCTCGGAACAAATGGGGACAACAGCCACAAAAAACACTAGTTTTCTTTACCAGTGACAACAAGTAAACTTCCCTCAGAACAGAGGGTATAACAGCCACAAAAAAACACTAGGGTTCTTTTTACCAGTGACAACAAGTAAACTTCTCTCGTTTCAGAGAGGCTAAACTTTACTGACTCCTCTATCCTATAAAGCCAGAATTTCTCTTCAGTTCGAAAATGGCATTTTTACTCACCAAGTAGGCTTCAGTAAGCCATCCGGGTCATGGCACCAAGTTGTTAGAAAATCGACAGGAAGAGTCAGGAGACAGACAATATTTTCTCTCAACACGCTTTAAAGCGAGTGATGATTTAGACATGCCTGACGAGTTAGCACCATGCTATCTGGTGGAAGCATGTTTCAGTTACTTGTTAGCTACATTAGCCTCGTAGTCTAAAACTAAAGAAGTAAACTTCAGACACCAAACATGTCTTGGCTATATTTGGAAAACTGGGTGATTGATGCTGAATGAAGTTTGTGAGCTGTTAATGAATTTAACATGTAGACGCTCTTTTAACAGGTACTCCATTAGTGAGCTCAACTGTCCATTGGCTATAGACAAAAATACAGGTCAGCTTGTCCTAAAGAAAGAACTGGACCGAGAAACAGAGGCCACACACATATGCCTGGTCATAGCACAGGAAATGTCTCCAAGCAGTGGAGGTAAGATATTCTCCCCAACGCTTATTTACCCTCCTGATTAAATGATGGAGCCACATCTAATCTCGACAACTTTACTGAAAGGTTGTGGTCTAATTCATTCTGGAAATTCAGATTTATTCTTTATTCTATAACTTTTTGGGGTCAGTTGTCACTGAATAACAATGATCTATGCATTTATACTAACCTGAATAAGAAAAATAGTTAAAAGTAAGATGATAACAGGGGAGGTGCTAAGGAGAGAGCGTTATGTTTGTTTCTTGTGAATTTACTCACTCAGTGTAAAAATCTTAGACTTTTACACACTGACTGTACAAGTGTAAACTGAGACAACTTCATTTTAAAATATTTTCAAAAGGTTTTACAATATTTAAAAAACCAAGAAACTCCTTAGCCCGGGTCTCAGTTTACATCACGATACCTACATTTAGGCTACATTCACATTACCAGGTTGAAGTGGCACAAATCTGATTTTCTGCCCTAATGCGACTCAGATCTGATGTTTTCAGGGCTGTGTGGACACGCAAATCTGATCTTTTCAAATCCGACTTGAGTCACTTTCATATGTGGTCCTAGATCGGATACATATCTGACTCGTGGCCATACGACCTTAATGTGGCGCTCAGATCAGAATTCATGTGTTTCTATTTATAATGCGCGTGCCCCATCGTTCAGTGTTACCATGGCAGCAGCGCCGAACAGAAGTTGAAGCCTGTAAATGGTGAAAAAACAACATCTCACCTTTTTCACCTTCGTCTCGTTCTAAAAATGAAGCTGAGAGCTGATCAAAGTTAATTATCTTCACAGTGAAGCTCGTTCTGCTCATTAGTTTGTGCTGATGATGCACATGCTTCATTCATGTGACGCTACTAAATAGGATGTGTGCATGCGGGTCATTTAAGGATGCTGGTTTGTTCATATCAATGACTGATTTGAATCACTTACCTAAACGAGCATGAATCATCATGTCAGAGAGATCGGATTTGAGCAATGAGGCTTGTAAGGCTACGTTTACACAGCAGGTAAAAGTGGCCCAAATCTGATTTTCTCACCAAATCCGATCTTTTTGTTTGGCTGTTCACAATATTTTTTAAATGTGACCTCTATGTGACATCAGTCTGAACATATCACATTCCTTAACCGACCCACATGCGCAAAAGAACAATGCTTCACGTGGCTCATCCAGCGGTAAACAATCATGACGGCCAGCGAACGCCAGTCGCTCCAAGAGCTTTCAGTTTCTGTCTGTGACACCACCACATAAGGGGACCTGTGGAGTACCTATTTTTAATGATCAACACTAACATAGATTTCAGGTAGTGTTATTTAGGTTACCCCACAGAAAATAAAGTCTCTAATTTCCTTTATGACTTCTCACTGGGATGGTCTGATAGGAGTTGTGGCCTCATCTTATGTCTGGCATTTTTATTATGTTTTCCATATTTTTTGTTTGAAAATGTTTCCTGGGCATTCCAATGGGGGACTCTTATTTTGAATATAAACCCTGGTTTGGGAACAGGAAAGGGAAGTGTGGCAGCCATTTTCTTGGAGGATCAAGTTTGGGGAAGACAGGCCTGGTAGATCATTGCTGTTCAAGCCCTAACAAACTTTTACTCCTTTTCTACTCATCTTTGTCCTTGAAGAGTGGATCCCCCTCTAACTGTGGAGTTACCTCAAGGAACTGGGTGAGCTCATTCCTGTTTTTTGTTTTTTTGCATTGCTGGGCCCTGTTTTGATTTTTGAGTATTTTTGGGACACTGTTTGCTTGGACTATGGTGGCAGTTTGACATTTTTGGACTTCTTTTTTTTGGATTCAATAGAGACAATCTTTAATAACTCTATCCCATCTAATGGACTTCTGCATCAGATCTTATATTCAACTGCTTCTCTGCTTTGTTTGCTGGTGCTGTTGCTGTTGCAGATGCTGTTAATGTCTGTTCTGGGGATTAAGTAAAACCTAACTGGTGCAAGCTCTGTGGTATTCTGGTGCTCACGTTTTTTTTTTTTTTCCTCACCAAATTAGTGATCAGATTTTATTAGTAACTGCTGAGTTGGTCAGATTGTTACATGTCTTCGCCAGCATCACAGGAGCGATTAAAAACTTTTTTTGATGCTGAAGCCTCGGTCTCCTCTGGCTGCGTTTGGCCGTTTCATTCGAAACCTCTTTGAACACGGAGCGGTTGCAATGAGTCTCCTAAAGTTTTGGTACAGAAACATCAGCCTAAATGTTTTGCAGTGCGAAATTATGACGAATGTCAAGTTGGACTGACATAAAAGTCGCATGAATTCCGATCTGGCTGTTCAGACTGATGTCGCATTGCCGCAGATCGGATACATATCAGATTTCAGTACCACCTCAAATTGGAATTGAAAATGTCAGATTCAAGGCGTTTTTTGCTGTTCACACTGACACACAGACACACATCTGTGTCACGGATTTGGGCCACTTTTACCTGCTGTGTAAACGTAGTCTAATGTGAACGTAGCTCTAGAGTTGTAGACTCTCACAATACCTCCATTTACAGTCAGTTAATTATTCAACCTAATGAGAAACTGTAGAACAGACTTATAGAACAGTTTATATCACAATACCTAAATTTAGAGTCAGTTATTTGTACAAATCTATAAGACACAGCAGATTAAATGACTGACACACTATTTTGATGTTTTCATATTATCACCTGCAGAACCACAAACATCTGTATCAGCTGTGCAGTAAAAATTGCTTCTTTGTATCTACAGGACTAAAAGGGTATGCGATTGTCAAGATAAAGGTTCTGGACATCAACGACAACCAGCCGGAACTGATCAATGCGAGTAACATTTACATCTGTGATAATGATAAAAATGGAACCGTGAGAAATTCACAAAAATATTTCATCATTGTATCATAAAATTATATCATTATTTACATGATTTTTCCCTTTACCACAAATGTGATCGATTAATCAACACATGCTTGGTGTCTGAAGCTCCTGTTTCTGTTATGTATGAAGTCATCCTGTATGACTCATGTAAATTAACTCTGTTCTGATTGGCTGCCCTGTATAGTCTCATTCTGCCCAATTATTTTAAAGGGCGCATATTCTGCATCTAAGGTTTGTTTACCATATTTGTGGTTTTTTTTTGGTTCTAAATTCTTAATTTTTATGATTATTTTCCAATCTCACTTTATAATTGTAAATCAGTTGACTTCTGTGACATCCACAAGTTTCCATATGTGGTCTTTATGGACTGGAGAGTCAACAGTATGTTTTAAAACTAATGTCTTTGCTGATCGACTACATTTGGGGTAACAGGAGAGATTTATGCTGAGATATAATTTTATAAATAATTTTAAATAAAATTTGTTTCTTTGCTTCACAGATCATTGGAACCATTGGGGCTACCGACAAGGACAAAAACCCTAGACCGTTCCGGTTCATTCTGGCAAAAAGGAGCTCCAAATTCTCCCTCCATGACAACCTAAGTGAGGAACATTTTCAGCTAAATTCCTAAAATACAGACAGACCTATTTAAATACGTATGAGCTACATAAATAAAACATATCGTTGCTGTATCACCCACAAAAATGGATATGACCAGGAGATTGCGAGTTCGATCCCTGGTGATGCTACAGCCGTCCGTAGCAGGGAGTCCAAGAGAGCACAATTGGCCTCGCTCTCTCTGGGTGGGTAGGATGGCCCCTCCTTCTCCCCCCATCACTCAGCGCGATGCTAGTCAGTGCAGGCGTCTGTTAGCTGACGTAACAGATCTGGTGGTTGGTGCTTTCCTCCGAGCGCGTTCGGCTGTCCAATGACGTTGCGTGAGCGGCAGTTCGAAAAGAAGCGGTGATTGGCTTCACAGGTCTCGGAGGAAGCCTGTGTTAGCCTTCGCCCTCCTAGCGTTGATAGCATCGTGTGATTGGGGGAGTCCTAACTAGCGGGGGAATTGGAGACGACTAAATTGGGGAGGGAAAAAAAGGGTAAAAATTAAAATGGATATGACAGGTTTTGTCCTGACACCGGTAATATTAGTTTTGAAGCTCAGCACAGAACAGGTGAGAGAATAAGATCATTACAACACATACATTTACCTAAACAGCCAACAATATCAAGAAATAGGTTGAAAAATCACATTGTTGCAACAAAATCAATAATGTGAAATACTAGAGCTTTTGATCAGATGACCATGATTTCACTTGCTGGACTCAATCCTGTCCAAACAGAACACAGAAATCAAATGTAGATGTGAAATATTATGCTCTTGTGTAGTTATTAATGTGACTACCAAATATGCCAAATATATTTAACAAATATTTAATCGAATGTTGAACAGAACAGTAATAACTGCAGGTTTGTTGAGTTTAACTGTATTTTTTCAGCAGTTATCATGATGCTAACTGGTATACATTGGTACATTAGCCACAAAGCTACAGACGTGCTAAGCCTGATGAGCTGGAACGCTGCTGGTTCAGTCTCAGTCGCTCTAAAGTGACCAGACAGCGGCTCTCTCTCACATATTCAGACACCAACCAGAATGACAACAAACTCGCACTGAAAGATGAATGAGCTACAGGCTTTTAAAAAATAGCATCTGCATGAATGTGGACATCAGTACAGGACGCTGTGAGAGCTTTTTCAGAACAATGAAGGACTTCCTGCCACCCAGAAGCTTCTGTATAATTAACTGCAGTTACATTTCACTGTTTTCTCACTCAGCGTATGTGATTTCTAACACTGTATGACGGACTGATATCTGTAAACATGGTGCACCACATCGCTAAAACAGCAGCATAAATTCAATCTGTACTTCAGTCCATCTTTATAACAGTATGTCATACAGCGTCATAAACCACATAATCAAGTAATTGATAATGTTAAAGATACTGAACAACATCTCCACACAATTTAAGGTGAGTGTGCTGATTTAACTAAGCAGTTAGCATCATGCTAATTGGCTTACATAAGCTTCCATTACTTGCTTGGTACACTACCCTGTCTTGTTTATGTTAACAATGTATTTACATTACATTGACAAATACGCAGCTTAAAATTTCAGCACCCCCAATCTAAAACACTTTGACGCGTCCACCTCCTTGTATCTACACTCAGTCCATTTTATCAGGTCCACTGACCATATAGTTTCACTCTGTAGTTCTACAGTTACAGACCCCCACAGGACCCTCACAGAGCAGGTACTGTTTGGGTAGTGAATCATTCTCAGCACTGCAGTAACACTGACGTGTTGGTGGTGTGTTAGTGTGTGTTGCACTGATGTGAAAGGATCAGACACAGCAGGGTCCTGACCATTGAAGAACAGGGTAACAAAGTATGCAGAGAAACAGATGGACTACAGTCTGTAACTGTAGAACTACAAACAGAACTGGTTTAATATTGTTGAAAACACTGATTCCAAACAGTAATGTCTATACGTGCTCTTTGAGAATGAATCTCTGTTTTGTATTTGCTGTTCTTTATTCAATGTTGTCTACATTTAAATCTTTTTGTTATTGGTGTGAACTGTTTGTCGGGCAGCAGAGGCGGGACATTAGAAGGTTTGCTAACCGTGACCTATTAACCTAAATAAATAAATACAGCTGATTGTGTTTCTCTGAAATGTTTGCAGACAACACTGCCACCATCGTGTTGACCCATCAAGACCTTAGCACGGACACTTTGGAAGATAACTTTCTGGAGATTGAAATCTCAGACGGACATCAGAAGAGCATCAACCAGTTATACATCCGAGTGTGCACGTGTTTGAAGGACCGGATATTTGAGTACTGTAAGGCCCACGCCCACACCGGGGTCAGCGGCAGTGCACTCATTGCCATCCTGCTCTGCATCGTCACCATCCTGGGTAAGATCAGCTACATGCTGCAGACGCACTGCACCGGCAAAGACATGGTGTTTCAGCTCAAACTTCACAACCAGCTGCATAAAAATGCTGAGCTTGGGGCTCCTGAGTGGCGCAACCGTCTAAGCGTTGGCCCTCTCATCAGGAGATCGTGAGTTCGATCCCTGGTGACGCTACAGCCATCCGTAGCTGGAAGTCCAAGAGAGCACCATTGTCCTCCCTCTCTCTGGGTGGGTAGGATGGCCCCTCCTTCTCCCCCCATTACTCAACATGATGCTAGTTAGCACAGGCGTCTGTTGACATAACAGATCTGACGGATGGCGTTTTCCTCTGAGCGCGTTCAGCTGTTCAATGACGTTCCATGAGCAGCAGTTCGAAAATATGCAGCCGCTGGCTTCACAGGTCTCGGAGGAAGCCTGTGTTAGCCTTCGCCCTCCTAGCGTTGATAGTATTGTGCGATTGGGGGAGTCCTAACTAGCGGGGGAATTGAAGACGACTAAATTGGGGAGAAAATTGGGTAAAAATCCAAAAAAAAAAATTTTTTAATTGTTAAATTTAAAATAACAGCACATAACAGAAAAAGAACATCTGTCTTAAGTTAATATTAGAAGTTCTGTTAGTTTTAAGTAAGTCCAGTTACTCAGTTTAAGTTAATAAACACAAAACATCAAAACCAGATTGGGCCAGACGTGCACCCCCAGATAAATGACATGTTGATTTTCTAAGTGTAAAAAAATTAAATTCTCTACAGAGAACATGTTTGATCAGGGGCGTATACACTTGTGTGCACATACCACGTTTTTGTAGTTCTCCATGTGTGCGGCCCAAAAACTAGAGTTTTGACCTTGTGCACTTGTTTTGTACAGGACATAGAGAGAAAATAAGTCCAATTTGGGCCTGAAACTAACAAACAAGGCTCAGTACACTGGGCCCAGAGTGTCCACTTTATCAAAAACACCTACCTTTTACGTCCACTTTCTGGCCACTTTATTAGAAACACCTACCTTGTACGTCCACTCACTGGCCACTTTATTAGAAACATCTACCTTGTGCTTCCACTCTGCTGTCTCTTTCTTGAGAAACCTTCATCAGCAGCTTCGTATAAGGATCCGAAGACGTTTTTTTGATTGAGCTGTGATTGATTCACACTGGATTTGTGCCACCGCAGATTGTAAACATAGATGAAGAAACTAAGTGGCCTTCGTCACCATCTTTTCTCTGTATCTATGCGCCTCACATCAAGCGAAGACACAGCAGGGTACTGAATTGTACGAGCAGTGTGTATCTACAGACAAATAATATCAATAAGAGTGAGTCACTCCTCCACATCAAAGCTCATAATGAACTGCGGCCTCATTGTTCTTGATTTTCAATTAATATTAGGCGGCCTATCTAATCTAGTCTGCAGCGCTGCAGCTAGTTTAATTCAGCGCCGAGTGTGTACTTAGCGCAGTCGCTGAACTGAAAGTCAGACATCATTTTAATCAGACCCCCTCTTCATTCTGGAGTCTGCCTCGGCGCTCGGCTTCCATACGCTGCGGAGTGAAGGGGAACAGTTGGCGTTTGCGGAGGAGCCTGTCAGCCAGGTGAAAAAGTTAAACTCGTCATGACTGCTGGCATCAATACAGGCCGTGTCTTCTGACTCGCCTCATTATTAGAGGCTCCCTGCCAGACCTGGCAGCTTGTATGAATAGAAACCAAGTTTGCTAGCATTAGCATTTTAAACATCCACGTCCTCCACTTCCTCTTCTTCTTCAGTGCCCCGCAGACCTGACGCTTCTCTCCTCCACATGTGCGGCCCCAAAATTACAGTTTTAAGCTTGTGCACTTGTTTTGCACAGAACATAAAAAGAGAATGAGTCCAATTTGGGCCTGAAACGAACACACAAGGCTCAGTACACTGGGCCCAGAGTGTCCACTTTATTCAAAACACCTACCTTGTATGTCCACTCTGGCCACTTTATGAGAAACACCTACTTCGTACGTCCACTCGCGGCCACTTTATTAGAAACATGTACCTTGTACATCATCACGCTGGCCACTTTATTAGAAACACCTACCTTGTATGTCCACTTTCTGGCCACTTTATTAGAAACACCTACCTTGTGCTTCCACTCAGGAAATATCTGGGTCACGGTCGCAACCAGAAGTATGAAGTGTAAGTTGACGTGTTAGACTTAGCATTAGAGCCAACCCTTCCCAGATCTAGCAAGATAGGTGAGACACCCTTACTATAGGGTAAATACAGAATTAGAGAGAAACAATAGTTTGAGGGTAGGTACTAAAAAAAAAAAATATTAAAGAATTAATTATAAGTGTGTTTTTTAGCTTCAGCTTACTTTTCACTGTAAATAAGTACATTTATGCAATCAATACCAAAATATAAAATAACGAGCTGCAATGACCATTTAAACCTTGTGGATATAGGCGGTTATACAGTAATACCCTCTGCCCCTTTTCAGGTTAACAAGAAATTCAAACGGCAAATAAAGCTGTCACAATAAGGAGCTTTCACTTCAGACAAACAAACTTCTTTAACCCCTTTACTCTTCTGAACAGTTATAAGTTCAACAAGCAAAAAATTAACTGTTCAGCTTAACAGAACAGTACAAGTTACTCTGATAAGAAGTAGTAAATGGAACTCGGTTACCAGTCTGAAGTGGTGGGACTGACGCTGGAAGATGTATTTGACAGGGTGAGCTCTTCCTCATCGGAACTGAAGAGAGTCAAGCTGCACCATAAATATTCATACCTAGATGCAGCCTGGCACGTCAACAGCACCCCCATTTTAGGGTGGTCAACATCGCTGCTGGACTGCATTTAGTACCGTTACAGAGCGGCAGTTTAAGAAAGATACTGTCCAAAATTACACTATTTTAAGAATATTACACTCAAAGTGGGATAATATTATATAATGGAGGGAACACCGTGATCCACGCTCGTGTTTGTGTAATGTGGATTTTTTTTATTATGTTTGTGTAGATATTGCTGTTTTTCCTCTAGTTTTAAATTAAGCTTATTTCATTTAATAGTCTATTCAGGAATCTTCTTGCTCGAATTTTCCCATTCCACCTTAAATGCTGCAGCAGTCACTTTCTGGTGCTTGAAGCTGCACCATTTAAGGTGGAACGGGCAAATTCGAACAAGAAGCGGGCTGATGCACCATTTAAGGTGGAATGGGAAAATTTCTTCTTCATAACTTCAGGTTTGTGTAAGAAGGTGCTAACGTTAATCTGTTATGAATATCTACACGGACTAAGGAATGCTATAACTTGCCAGTACAAAGCTTTAACCATCATTGTAAATAAATAACTGGTGAACAGGAAGCCAACTTTAGCTTCGTCCTCCTTACTGTGTTTTGAGAGGATTCATTTATTTTATGTGTATCAAAATTAGAAGTGATCCACACATTGATGGATTTGCTGCTTGTGAGATTGTGTTTCTACCAGAGCGCTAAACTTGGCTTTTAGCATCAGACGCAGACTGAATACATTCCTGCTGGTCCAGACGGCTAATTGTCACGATCAGTTATTAAAGTAATAAAAGCTACCGAGAGCAGATCCGTGCAGACTAGATTAATCTGTGTCTGAGGATTATAACAAAACTAATTTAGAGTAATAAGAAAGTTGTGGCTGATTTAATCCTGAGACTCATCGTCTCTCAATACAAGTGAATTGGTTCAAAAGTGGAACTTGACCGCTCCAACATGACGGACGCACAGATGTATCGCCTCCGATAGAGAACAACAGACAATGCAGCATCTAGGTATGTATATCTATGAGCTGCACCGCATCTCCAAGATATGTTCACAGAAAATGGCGCCCGCTGCAGCTCGCTTCTCCTTCAGTCCCGAGTAGCCGCCCGCGGAATGTTCTAGAAGCACTCGGTCCTCCTCAGCACCTCAGAACCAAACATGAATGCTCTCCACTGTCTGTGGAACAATAAAACAGTCCGTTAGAACGTTAAAAAAGCTCCAAATAAACTCCAAAAAACGGCTGAGCTCGTTTTTAATAAAACACAGAACAAAACTCGCTAACTTTGCGGTGAAATAGTAATATTTTCAGACCTGGGCTCGTGCGTTCAGGCTAATTTCTAATGGCTAATGACCCCCGCCCTGTTTACAGTCTTGCAGCTCTTAAACCGGACTCTCTGAGTCTGTTTTTTCAAAACTTTTCTTCAAAAGGAAACAGGGAAAAATACTTTCTCTGCTTCTCACTGAACAATAAGATTAACTTTAACCTAGCATGAGGCTGAACTCACACAACTGTCCTCCATCTGCAAAATCTCCACAGCAAAACACAGGTTTTCAAAACAAACCTTCCTCAGCTCCACAGCAAACTCTGTTACTCGCTGCAGCTGGTTATAAGTCTACATATGTCGAAAATACTATAAGCTTGACATTTAAGTCCTTGTTTAAGGATTTAAACCTAAAATATGAGCTTAAAACACTGAAAAACAGAGGAGCATTCGTGTCTTCTGCCTCTCGCACAGCGGCGCTCTAAGCCCCGCCCACGAAGGCCGGTGATAGGCTACACGCTCATGGACAGACCATAATATGAAAGATTAGCTTCAAAATAAAAACCCATGTGTATTTTGTGTTCTCTACACAGAGAGGGATGCAGCACCCTCTGATTTCAGGACTGCATCTGCTAAAAACAATAATAATAATAATAATAATGATAGAGATCTAAACGTCACACCCCGGACACCACCTGTTAGAGCTCCTTCCCTCAGGCCGGCGCTTCAGCCAGATGAGGATCAGGACATCCAGGCTACAAAAGAGCTTCTTCCCACAAGCCATCACTCTCTTGAACAGTGAAAATATTACACATTAAAATATTCCAGCTTCTAAACTGCACTTCTAAAATACTGGTATATAGTATCAAACTCAACTCCATCCTCTGAAACTACCGTCTTAAACCAGTGTTTATTCTAGAATCTTACTTACCTGCCATATTACCCCACTTATCTTACTGTCACCTCATTGATCCCTTTCTTTGCCATTATACACCCTTTAACTGCTGCTGCACTCAGCACTTTAACTTTAGACCCATACTTTGCAAATGTAAAGGTTACAGGTATGACTGTGTGCGTGTGTGTGTGTGTGTGTGTGTGTGTATGAGTGAGTGATGGTAGGAATGCATGTTTTATTTATTTATTTATTTTTTTGTATTGTATTTTATTTTTTTTGTATTTTATTCTATTTTATTTTATATTTATTTTATTTTATTTTATTCACTACATGTAAATGTCTGTCTGATACTGTGCACTGTGAGCTCCTGTAACCAAAATCAAATTCCTTGTATGTGTAAGCATACCTGGCCAATAAAGCTTGATTCTGATTCTGAAAAAAAAACCTTTTAATAATTTGAGTGTAGCAAAGACTCATGCAAGCTTGTTTTAGAAATGAGCTTGTATTTTATATGTTTTCAAAATCTACTGCACTTGTCCACTTTCAGGGTGCGTCGCTAAAACACAGGTTGACGTGCAAAGAGAGAAAGTGTGTGTAGAGATCGAGGCCGGTTCTGAACCCCAAAGCAGCCTAATACTGTTTTTAAACTTAAAAAAATAATAATTGAATATTATATTAGTAGCAGTTTATCAACAGTATCTCACACTCAGTGCGCTTTCCAATGTTAAATCTCACCGTGAGACACAATCGGTTACCGCACCACATATCAACAATCTGATTGGTTGCCTCTCAGCCAATTTGCATTAAGTTGGTCATCTCTCGCCTCATTATAGTTTAGTATGACTCTCATGTTTGATGTAAAGTATCAAAAAAATCTAATGGAAAAAAGCAAATCATTTTGTATGATGTCATCGTTCACATCGCAATATGCTGCTTAAAACACCATCCTCCATCCCTGACGTGTAGTGTAGTGTTTTTTTAATGCCAGAGCCAAATAAAAATCTCCACTTTACATTTAATAGACTAAGTATTCTGACTCTCACTGGATAGATGACAGGACGGACAGATGGACGGACAGGTAGATTAGAGTTCAACAGCAGATGCTCACATGCACATGTATTTTCAGCAGGGGGCAATCTGTGGAAATCATTGTCTCGTCTTGGTCTCATCATCATTTGGACTTGGTCTCCTCATCAATTGAACTCACTCTGGTCTTGATCTCAAAATCATTTGGACTTGGTCTTGTCTTAGTCTTATCATCATTATAACCCTGTCTTGTCTCTGTCTTGCCATTACATGGACTTGGCCGGGTCTCAAGTTCATTTGGACTCATCTTGGTCTTGCTATCATTTAGGCTCAGTCTTGTCTTGGTCTCATGACAATTTAGACTCGGTCTTGTCATCATTTGGACTAAGTTTCATCTCGGTCTCATCATCATTTGGACTAAGTTTCATCTCGGTCTCATCATCATTTGGACTAAGTTTCATCTCGGTCTCATCATCATTTGTTCTTGGTCTTATTTCTGTCTCAACGTCATTTGGAATTGGTCTCACCTTGGTGTCACCATCATTTGGTCTTGGTCTTGTCTCAGTCTCAACATCATTTGGTCTTGGTTTTGCCTCTGTCTTGAGATCATTTGGACTCAGCCTCATCTCAGTCTCGAGATCATTTGGACTCAACTCGGTCTTGTCTCTGTCTTGATATCATTTGGGACTGGTCTAGTCTTGGTCTCAATATTATTTAGTCTTGGCCTTGTCTCAGTCTCAATATCATTTGGTCTTGGCCTTGTCTTGGTCTCGACATCATTCGGTCATGGCCTTGTCTTGGTCTCGACATCATTTGGTCTTGGTCTCATCTCGGTCTTGCCCTTATCTCAATGTCATTTGGTCTCAGTGTTGTCTCGTCTCAACATTTAGACTCAGACTCCATCATTTGGTTTCAGCCTTTTCTCTGTCTCAACATCATTTGGACTTCATCTCATCCCCTTGATCCTCACCCCTCCCTTCTTTTTATTTTTATATTTTGGTCTCAGTCTTAACTCACTCATCTCTACTGATCTTGACTACAACTTTACTATTTGGTGTAAACATAAGCTAAATAAGTTTATATGCCATCTTACATTTAATAAATCCTACTCCTGCTTTTCATTCAGCAATTTAATATCACTGCCAGATTTGATTTTACACATACAGATACAGACACTGCTGTGTCTGATCCACTCAGACCAGCACAACACACAACCACCTCGTCAGTGTTACTGCAGTGCTGAGAATGACCCACCACCCAAATAGTACCTGCTCTGTTCTGCATTACTCCAGTTTTTTACCAGTGATTTTATTAAAAAAACTTTGTGAATGTTTTATCCATTATTTATGACCCTTAGGGTGTTATTGTGTTGTCCTGCTCTCACGTCTCTCTCTCCTGTTCCATCTCTCCTTCTACTAGGACCAGAGCTTGGAGTCTACTGACTGTTTGCAGCAGGGGGTGCTCCAGCTACATTGGCTAAAGGAAAGCAAAAGGGCTGTGGGCTGCTTCGGCTGTTGCATCTGTCATCCGTCTTCCCGCTGACCAGACCAAACCAGACCAGACCCAACCTGACACTTCTGTGTAGTTTACTGCCTTTACTTCATGTTCCTTTTTATCATAGATAATTTAACTATTTTAAAAGTAGGAATGAGCGCCTACAAATCAGCTGACTGTATTTTCCTTTGGTCCTGGGTCAGTTAGTTTGCTTTTGTCCTCTATCTTATCCATTTTTAACATGGGTAACACACAAAATATCAAAATATATAACATATTGTTGTTTTGTAATTGTCACCACTGTTCCTGTAGCTACTCAGAAAAGTACTTGTAACAAGATTACTTTACTTTTTTCCAGGAAGTAATCAGTAATCTCACTAGACATTACATCTGAGTTCCTCTCTAAAACAAAAACACATCTGTACCAGCTGTACAAACCCAACAGTCCTTTAAGCACTTTATTTACAAACAAACAGCTGATGACTTTTATGCCTCAGTCAAGAAAACTATAAACTGAGTAATTTTCTGGTAAAACAAGCTACGTTAGATGAGCATCAGTCTCGTTTCAAGACTGTGTTGTTCAGTGCTGGTTGTGATGTCAGTAAAATCAGTGTCCAGTTGTAAAATGTCTGCTCTGAGATTAAGTACTAGCTTTAGATTAAATATGGGTTTAGTCCTGTTTCAACATCAGACAGCTTGTTTCAGTAACAGTGGAATCTTCCTCCACTAGTGTTCACTAGAGCACTAATGTTGCAAATACCAAAAAACTGAATGAAGATATGAAGATGTGAATATATGTGTTGCAGCGTGCGTTGCTGTTTTTAATTCGTAAACTGATCAGAACTTTTTGAGCAAAGTGAGATCTTCATCTGCATGCGGCAGGATGTTTAGAAGGACAAATAGTTTATGGCCCATGGCATTAATTAGAATCACACTAATTAATTTATATTTTTTAGCTACATTACTCTGCTGCGAAAACCAGCATAAACAAGCACAGCTGGTCACCAGTGAAACCAGCATATGTTGTGTTTTGGATGTGGTTGCTTGGAGGCCAATTAAACCAGCATAAAATAGCTTCAGTGTAAAACTAAAAACTGACAAAAAACTTGTTTTGGCTGATCAACTACATTTGGGGTAAGGGGGAAACTTTGCTATTAACGTTTTAACCTCTTATTCTCCAGGGTAAGGCAAATTATTCAGTAACTGCATGAAATAATTTTTTATTTAATTTCTTTGTAAAAGTTCCCCTCAAATTAACAGAAAATGTGTTTTATGATCATAAACATATTGCTATATGCTTACAATTTACTGCTGAAAGCCCAAAATCTTAGACGCTCTTTGTATTATTTTATATAAATAATGTTTACAGAGCAGATCACTGCAGAGACGCCATCTGTTTATAGTTTATAGCCCAGATTTGTGGAAAATGGGTCGACTTTCAGTAGAAAAAAAAAATTGTGAGTTCAGCTTCTTTTATTATAAGTATTTAGTGCGTTTTGGAACCACCGGAGGTCTCAAGGAGTTAAAAAGGTTAAAATACAAGACGTTTTAATATCATTTTTACAAATAACTGTTTACAGTAGATCTTTATTTTTAGCTATATTGCAGTGTCACTCCAGTTTGATATGAATGGACACCAAACATGTTGACTACATTTGGGGCAAAAATATTTAAATTTGCCTTCTGGCCGAATTATTGCTATTCCTTTGGGGTCCACAAACTGGTGTCAGATTCTCCGTTTCTATATCTGTTTGTGTATCTTTGTGATGATCCAGCACAGAAATCCAGTTCAAACATACCCTTCATTCTTCATTCAGTCCACATCGGAGACTCATGTAAAATGGCCTGCAGAGAGTTTACAGCTGCTGAAGTTGTTGCAGCGGTTTTGGGAAGTAGTGATGAAGATAAAAGAGCATTTAGATATGAAACACATGAGTATCATGTTATATGAAGAGCGTTTAAAGGAGAATTTAAGAAGAGATGAACAAATCGAGAGAATGACTCAGACCACAGAGGGTTAAACTGAATCGGTTGCTAAAGGCCTGAAGGCGGCGGCAGTTGTTCCTCTTTTTAGGCTGCTCCTCTCGGCTGGTTGAAGGTGATTTTCTTGAAGAGGTAATATCCATCCACACACCACAACACCACAGCCACAAAACTCACCATCTGCACAAAAACAAAGAACCACAGTAACCACACACATCCTATGTTGACACTGATACTATCTTCTCGTCATGTAGCTTCCAAGTAACTGCACCCCACACTGGGAGCATGGTTGGTCCTATATAGAAGCTTTTTTAAAAAGTTCTACATAGAAGCATATACAGCACATTCTCCATCAGTCTGAAGAACGTTTCTGCATGCAAAGGGCTCTTTGAGTATTCATGGTTCTATATAGAACCATTGCCTTTACTAAAGAACCCTTGTAGAAGAGTGTAGATAATTTTATGTAGCTTTATGTCTATGTAGCTTATCAACTGCATAACAGTTTTATAACGGTACATGACGTGTCTGTAGACAGCTGCTTCTTCTGAAATATGAAATCTGAGAGTGTTAACAGGAAGTTTGTTATTTACTGCTGCATAATCCCCTCACAACAAATGAGATCTTAATTGTGTATATATTAATATCTGAGAGAATAATCAAACCTTAGCTTACATAATTTTATCATAATCATTTTTGTCTCACTGCATTTTATCAGCATTTTATATTTTACTTCTCTCCCATTATGAACCATCACGCCTACTTAGATCACAAGGTGCTGGTTTACTATTAGTACCTAGAATTAATAAAGTTACGTCAGGGGGGAGAGCTTTCTCATACAAAGCCCCCCAGCTTTGGAATAGTCTTCCTGTTAATGTTCTGGACTCAGACACAGCCTCAGTCTTTAAGTCTAGGCTAAAAACTTACTTGTATAGTCAAGCCTTTGGTAATTAGTTTTCCCTGTCAGTTCTATACCTGCCTGAGTCTCTGCTGCTCTGCTAACACTGTAATCTGTGATCAGTCACTCATTACAGAACTGACTCTGTGTTTTTCCTTTCTTTTCTTTGCCGAGTTGAACAGCTGCCCATCCTGTGCGTCTGATGCTGTTGCCTCTTCTGCCTTGATCGGGTGCCACTGCTGCCAGCCCTCTGGACCGGCTTGACCACCATTGAGCTTCATGCTGTACAACGCCATGCAACCTCACACTCACATCCTGACCCCACTGATGCTGCTGCATGAACTAAACTAATCAAATTAATCATTTGCTCCACCTGTTTTCCCGTTTTTGTACTAACAATGTTTGCTATCCGGTGTCGACCAGAGGAGGATGGGTTCCCCTTCTGAGTCTTGGTTCCTCTCAAGGTTTTTTCCTGTTTCTTAGGGAGTTTTTCCTTGCCACTGTCGCCACTGGCGACGCTCTTGTGGGCTTGGACTCGGATTTCTTTTTGTAACGTTGATTTTTTTGTTTTGTAAAGCTGCTTTGTGACAACACCTGTTGTAAAAAGAGCTATATAAATAAACTTTGCTTGCGTGCTTGCTTGCACTACCTTTAATAAACTAATTTTAATAACACAAACTCTTTGTCTTTAATTTCCTTTTTCTGTTATTATTTTGCTTTTATGTACTTTATACTTCCTTTTAGTTATCTGTCATTATTTGATCACTTTTAAACACTTTATAATAAAAGTAAAAGTGTAGCATTATTTTTGTAAGGGTTCAGCCGGCCCCGCCTGCTGCCAGCAGAGGGCGATGGCGGCATGGGGCCATAACTTCAGGGAACTCCAATTCCCAGAAGTCTGTGGGCTGATTAGGCCTAACGCGACACACCTGCGGACTCCTCTACTTAAGGCCGTGCCAAACAGTGGTGTTTGTCACACCTTTGTAGAGGGGTGACTGGTACAGTACTTAGTGTCAGAAAAGAAAAGAAAAAAAAATTGTCCCAACACTAAAGAGAAAAGAAACTGTCCCAAAGCTACTTAAAGTTAAAAAAAAAAAAAAAAGTTCTTGAGCTACAGTCGGCTCAAAGAAAATAGAAGAGGTGTTTGCTCCACCAGGAGCAAACAACTGAAACAAAGTCTGCCTTCCCTTCGTTCTTGGAGTGGAAGTGTTTTTTGTTTTCCTGTTATCTTTCGTCTCGCCTTTCTAGTTCAGCCTTTGTTTGAGCTGCTTTCAGTATCCCTTTTGCCGTAGTCGTCTGTGCTCATCAGTGTACATCGGCGGTTCGAACCTGGCTTTGGGTCACCTCATCTGCATGTTTCAAACTCACAATCCAGTGCCCCAATAAACTCATTTATCCCTTTTTCTCTCTGTTTCCATATCTGCACTTGGGTCCGCCTCCCCACTGTCCCGTAACAATTTTGAATTGCCTTTGTGTATGAAATGTACTTTACAAATAAACTTGCCTTACTGTGTAGCTTAGCGTCTGGCTTTATCCTCCAATTAACTGCACAATAAACTGAACGCTAGCTAGTTAAGCACTAGTGACCAGATGGATCAGATGTAAGGTATGTGTACAGGTGAGTGCCAATAATTTTTAACATTTAAACTCCCAGTGAACACAGAGTAAAATATTAAAATGTTAATACTAAACCTGAGTGTTGTATTAAACATCCAGCAAAGACTGAAATTGAATGAAAAAATACAAGATATAAATAAATATGGTTAAACATGGCTTAAAAACTGCTGATCAGACCTATCTGAGAACTGTGTGGGCGTGGCTAATGAGCAGTTTGATTGACAGCTATCTGTCCAACACTCCTAGCCTGCTCCGCCCTTAAACAGAACTAACATCATTGTCCAGCCTTTATGTGACACTAATTGGATGAGAAAGTCATGGATCAACAGACGTGCAGACGGTCAGACAAAGCGACACTATTATGAAAGAACGGACAAACGAACAATGTTCATGTATGGACAAATGAGTGAACGGGCGACAGGCAGCTACAGACAGGTGGTCTAGCTCGCTAGCTTTTGGTTATGCTGGGTTAGTGGTGGGTGGGGCCAGATACACAGTCTTGTGATTGGTCAGGGGAATGATTACGGAAGCACTACACAAGATTAGGACCACCCAGTTTCTGTTGAGAGGAGAGAAATGTGGTGAAATATATCGGTCATTTATTGGTCAGTGAAACATTTTTCAAAGGGTAAATTTAGTATATGTTTACTGTTTATCTGTAAGAACAAGATTAACACGATTAGTAAGAAAACACTTCTTCAATCTTCAATCAAACTAAGGCTTTTCTGTGTGAAGTAGCTGCTCACTTACCCCTCCAGCTAAAGTGCCCTGCACTGTGTAAGTGGACATAGCCATGATGCTAATTATAAATATGAAGGCCGCTGCAAAGACCGAGTTGAACACATCCTATAAAAAACATAAATGAATAATTATTATCTCCACCACATTGACTCCTGTAAGCAGGCATTCTGAGAAAACATTACATTTAAAGTCAGTTATATAGATCCAAACATTAGCAGACAAACAAATATACATTTTTTTATACTGTTTATTTTTCACCATATTAGTATTAATTTGTCATTGCTCTTATGTAAATGAACTTATACTGTTTTGTTATGGTTAGTGTACTTAAAAATATAAGTACAATACTTTGATACACTTTCAATATATTACAACCCCATTTCCAAAACATTTGGGATGCCATGCAAAATTTAAATAAAAACAAAATTCAATGATGTGCAAATCATTCAAACCCTATATTTCATTGAAAATAGTACAAAGACAACAAATAAAATGTTGAAACTAAGAATTTTTATTGTTTTTGAAAAATATTTGCCCATTTTGAGTTTGGTACCAACAACATGTTCCAAAAAAGTTGGGACCGGTGCATGTTTACCACTGTGTTTCATCACCTCTTCTTTTAACAACACTCTGTAAGCATTTGGGAACTGAGGAGACACTGCTGTAGTTTTGAAAGTGAAATGTTTTCCCATTTTTTGCTTACATAGGATTTCAATTTCAAAAAACCATAAAATTTCTCAGGTTCAACATTTGATTTGTTGTCTTTGAAGCATTTTCAATGAAATCTAGGGTTTAAATGATGTGCACATCACTGCATTTTGTTTTTATTTACATTTTTTACAGCGTCCCAACTTTTTTGGAAACGGGGTTGTACTTTTAGCTTGAGTATTTTAATGCTATACAATAAAAACAGTTTCTGAACCAGATAAATACTTATAACTTTCTCA